TTAACCGGGTACATGTTACCATGGAAACAAAAAACAAACGTCTGTATGTTTCTATCGAATTAGGTGAGCCCAGAAAATACAAATGTCACACCGTTGATTATCACATAATACTTTTGATCTTATTTTTTATTAACATTACTGTCCACTTGTACACAAAGTAATTTTAAAATGTGGACCTTTTAAACGTGAAAAACTTTCGTTGGACGTATTTTCTTGTAAAGTTCATATTTACTGAGATATCGCACTTTGACGCACTAATGAGCAACCCTGTATAATGATTTCCTTTATTAAAAACATAATCCTTAACATTGATAAACCTAAAATAAAATATTCTAAAATCAAAAACAAAACATGGGTCAGAAGTAACTACTTAAAGAACAAAAAACTGATAATAATAATTCAGGTTACAAGTTACTGTTATTTTAGCGATTACGTTAAATACCCACCAACCCTACTCGGAATATTGACGTGGATACAGGAAAACTTCCATATTAGTGCTAAGCTTTCAGAACCGATTTTAATCCCTTCTGAAAGTTGTTTATAACCAGATTGTTCAGACACAAAAGAGACATTAAACCATATTCAACTGTTGGCTCTGAACATTTCAATTACAACCACTTGCTCGGAAATAAACCAAATAAAAATAACAACAATTCTTACCTGGCATCCAGCCGAGAGTAACACTAAACTCCGTGGATGATCCTGATAAATTGTAGGGTGCATGTGGTTGAGTGCCTTCCACCACCAGTTGAGTGGAAAAAACGATAGAAGCGACCTCATTGGTGGCTACGCACTGGTAGAACCCAAAGTCCGATCGGCGCAAACCCTCAATGGTCAAGTTACCTCCATCCATTTTTAGGCGGTCCTTCGGCAGAGGAGAACCTGAAAACGGATATTAATAAAGTTTCCCAATATTTCCCATAGTTCATGCGAGGCACGCAAACATCAGCAGATGTAAATTGAAATTTTAATTATAACTTTATCCGACAAGTTTTGAGTAAAGATTATGCTGAACGATTTGTCAGAGTTGCCGCTTGCAGTTTGTTTGAATTCTACTCCAATTAGTTTCATATTCATGAGAATTGTTGCTACATTTTTGCATTTGGATACATTTTTTATACACTGTGTCCGAGTCAAGTAGTGAGCAAAGAAAGTGATTATCACGTGGAAAAGGCGTGAGGGCGTAACGCCAAGGTTAGTAATTTTATCGCGATATGTTGACGTGACAAACCATGATTCAATAAATTCTTCTTTTCTTGGATATTTCGCTGCAAAATGTTTGTATTTTAAAGATAACATTTCCTCACCGGTCCATAACCGGTTGCTAGAGTGCTTTTATTTCGCAACAAAGAACGAATTATTTATCAGAAGGTTAACACAGATGTCACCTAGACGGTACCCGAAGACGCACTTAGGCTCAAATTGCAAGAGAAAATTATTTCTTTACACCACTGATTTGTGTTATTTGCATTATACATGGAACATATTTAGAATGTGGAGTCGAATTCAAAAATGAGATAATATATAGGGTGTTCCATTTAAAATAAGCAAGTTGATTGCTACTTCCGGTATAACGGGAAGTGTGGCCATCTTGAAAATATTTAGATAGCTTGCTCCCAATGACTTCCGTACACTGTCCAATTTTCAAGTTTCATTCAAGAAGAAGAAGAAGAAGAAGAAGAATCATTCGACTTACCATCTCTCTTTTGCCATTGTATGGTCGGCTTCTTGGTGCTTTCAGCTCCAACAGCATCGCATTGCATTTCGACAGTTTCTCCCACTTTCTTCTGGTACATTGCCTCAGGCTGTATAGTGAAAATGGGAGGTTTCTTCACTATAACCTCCATTGGCCCCGAAGCGCCTTTGGTGCCATGTGCATTGTAGGGAGTGCACGTGTACTGACCCTAGTAGTCAACAGTTAAAAACCGACTGCACAAAACTTAACCTGCGGATCTACCTGATGGTTTTCGTTAACTCTAGTGAATAGTAAGGAGCCGTTGTTCATCACCACGACATCCCTTATCTGATATGGCTCGAGTACGCGCTGACTCTTCGTCCAAGTCACATATTGCAGTGGGGGGTTGGATTTGATGTAGCACTGTATGACGCCAGCCAATCGGAAGGGCAGGTATTGTACAGTGGGAGTGAATGTTACTCGTGCCGGGTCTATGGAAGAAGTTTAAATAGAAGCATTTCCAACGGGAGTAGATTTAAAGAAACGCCATTTTTATCATCATATTGTATCGTGGCTGGCCGGGTATCAAACTCTTTATTCAGCTTCCAACTTTTATTCAACTCGGTATAACTTTAAATACGGAACAGGAACAAACTAACATCAAAATTACCGTCAACTTCAGAAACAATAACAATAACAGACGGAAAACTCGCTCTTCCGACTCGGGGGGTTTAACCTCTTCTGCACCCGGTCGCTCCTGTCACTTCACTCTCTCCTGTTTCGTTCTCGTCGTCGCTTATATAGTGTCCTCCAGGTAACCCAGATGGTTCTCGAAATCTCCAGAACAGGTGCGAAACTTCCCGCTTGTCCGTGTCATATTTGACAGTAAATGGGGCGCAAATGGGGCTCCCATTTACTGAAATACCATGAATTTCGATCCCCCCATTAAAAACGTGCGTACCCCAGGCCATTTCCGTTACACTGCCCCCCTTCTAAACCCTGATAGTCCCGATTAGGTAATTCCTGGATCATGGTTATATCTGGCCAAACGGTGAATGTGGACAACTTTAAATTTTCCCTGAGGGCTCTTCTGATTGCTCATCAACAGTTCAACGCCGCCGACGTCGCGCGGTATTTCGCTGGTGTTCGCTTGGCGCACCACGTTGTCCATCCATTGCATCAGCGTCCTCACCAGGTTGAAGAACTTGAACAGATCGCCAGTATCGGCCAGTTTCCTCTGCGCTGCTCGCAAACCATTTGGAAACTGGCCCACGCAGACACCACTTTTTGTTCTCTATTTGTAATCTCTTTCGCTCTGTCGCCCGCATAGCTGGCTTGAAGCATGGCCGATTCCGCTTAGATCTGTTGCACTTGGTTCTGAAGCGCCTGCAGGTCTTGCATGAAGTTCTGATGTTTGCGCTGCAGCGTTGAAACAGAACCAGCATCTCGGCCCAGTTCGTCCGACATGGCAACCTGCTTCTCCAAAATGCGACTGAGTACATCCTTGCAGTCGTGGAA